ATACCCCGAGAGCATCTGGTCAGCGGGGTGGTGGCACAGGAATCCTCATCTCTCCCAAGTGGACATTCTCAATTTTTCCCCTGACCCATCTGTCTGTCTCCTCATTTGAATTCCATGCTGTCACAGTCACTAGCCCATTTAAGCTTAATATCCTTGTCATCTATCGCCCTCCAGGTTCCCTTGGAGAGTTCATCAATGAGCTTGACGCCTTGATAAGTTCCTTTCCTGAGAATGGCTCACCCCTCACAGTTCTGGTGGATTTCAACCTCCCTACGTCTACATTTGACTCATTTCTCTCTGCCTCCTTCTTTCCACTCCTCTCCTCTTTTGACCTCACCCTCTCACCGTCCCCCCCTACTCACAAGGCAGGCAATACGCTTGACCTCATCTTTACTAGATGCTGTTCTTCTACTAATCTCACTGCAACTCCCCTCCAAGTCTCCGACCTCTACTTTGTATCCTTTTCTCTCTCCCTCTCCTCCAACACTACTCACTCTGCCCCTACACAGATGGTAATGCACCGTCGCAACCTTCGCTCTCTCTCTCCCGCTACTCTCTCCTCTTCCATCCTATCATCTCTTCCCTCTGCTCAATCCTTCTCCCTCCAATCTCCTGATTCTGCCTCCTCAACCCTTCTCTCCTCCCTTTCTGCATCCTTTGACTCTCTATGTCCCCTATCCTCCCGGCCGGCTCGGTCCTCCCCTCCAGCTCCGTGGCTTGATGACTCATTGCGAGCTCACAGAACAGAGCTCCGGGCAGCTGAGCGGAAATGGAAGAAAACTAGACTCCCTGCAGACCTGGCATCTTTTCATTCCGTCCTCTCTACATTTTCTTCATCTGTTTCTGCTGCTAAGGCCACTTTCTACCACTCTAAATTCCAAGCATCCGCCTCTAACCCTAGGAAGCTCTTTGCCACATTATCCTCCCTGCTGAATCCCCCTCCCTCCTCCCTCTCTGTGGATGACTTCGTCAACCATTTTGAAAAGAAGGTTGACGACATCCGATCCTCGTTTGTTAAGTCAAATGACACTGCTGGTCCTGCTCACACTGCCCTACCCTATGCTTTGACTTCTTTCTCCCCTCTCTCTCCAGATAAAATCTTGTGACTTGTGACGGCAGGCCGCCCAACAACCTGCCTGCTTGACCCTATCCCCTCCTCTCTTCTCCAGACCATCTCCGGTGACCTTTTCCCTTACCTAACCTCGCTGATCAACTCATCCTTGACCGCTGGCTATGTCCCTTCCGTCTTCAAGAGAGCGAAAGTTACACCCCTTCTCAAAAAACCAACACTCGATCCCTCTGATGTCAACAACTACAGACCAGTATCCCTTCTTTCTTTTCTCTCCAAAACTATTGAGCGTGCCGTCTTTAGCCAACTCTCTTGCTATCTCTCTCAGAATGACCTTCTTGATCCAAACCAGTCAGGTTTCAAGACTGGTCATTCAACTGAGACTGCTCTTCTCTGTGTCACAGAGGCTCTCCGCACTGCTAAAGCTAACTCTCTCTCCTCTGCTCTTGTCCTTCTAGACCTGTCTGCTGCCTTTGATACTGTGAACCATCAGATCCTCCTCTCCACCCTCTCCGAGCTGGGCATCTCTGGCGCGGCTCACTCTTGGATTGCGTCCTACCTGACCGGTCGCTCCTACCAAGTGGCGTGGCGAGAAGCTGTCTCCGCACCACGTGCTCTCACCACTGGTGTCCTCCAGGGCTCAGTTCTAGGCCCTCTCCTATTCTCGCTATACACCAAGTGACTTGGCTCTGTCATATCCTCACATGGCCTCTCCTATCATTGCTACGCTGACGACACACAACTAATCTTCTCCTTTCCCCCTTCTGATAACCAGGTGGCGAATCGCATCTCTGCATGTCTGGCAGACATATCAGTATGGATGACGGATCACCACCTCAAGCTGAACCTCGGCAAGACGGAGCTGCTCTTCCTCCCGGGGAAGGACTGCCCGTTCCATGATCTCGCCATCACGGTTGACAACTCCGTTGTGTCCTCCTCCTAGAGGGCGAAGAGCCTTGGCGTGACCCTGGACAACACCCTGTCGTTCTCCGCTAACATCAAGGCGGTGACCCGATCCTGTAGGTTCATGCTCTACAACATTCGGAGAGTACGACCCTGCCTTACACAGGAAGCGGCACAGGTCCTAATCCAGGCACTTGTCATCTCCCGTCTGGATTACTGCAACTCGCTGTTGGCTGGGCTCCCTGCCTGTGCCATTAAACCCCTACAACTCATCCAGAATGCCGCAGCCCGTCTGGTGTTCAACCTTCCCAAGTTCTCTCACGTCACCCCGCTCCTCCGCACACTCCACTGGCTTCCAGTTGAAGCTCGCATCTACTACAAGACCATGGTGCTTGCCTACGGAGCTGTGAGGGGAACGGCACCTCCGTACCTTCAGGCTCTGATCAGTCCCTACACCCAAACGAGGGCACTGCGTTCATCCACCTCTGGCCTGCTGGCTCCCCTATCTCTGCGGAAGCATAGTTCCCGCTCAGCCCAGTCAAAACTGTTCGCTGCTCTGGCACCCCAATGGTGGAACAAGCTCCCTCACGACACCAGGACAGCGGAGTCACTCACCACCTTCCGGAGACATTTGAAACCCCACCTCTTTAAGGAATACCTGGGATAGGATAAAGTAATCCTTCTGTATTAGCAAAGTTATCATTACTCATTGTATATTTATTTACTTATATTATTACATGCTTTACTTTTCTATTATTTCTCTGTTTTATTTCTCTCTGCCTTGTGGTGAAGGGCTCGTGAGTAAGTATTTCACTGTTAGTCCATACCTGTTGTTTACGAAGCATGTGACAAATAAAATGTAATTTATATAATTAGTTGAAACAACACCATTTGTGGGTGTTTTCTTTTTATGCAGAGTTATTGCTGCTGGTAATGCTTTATTTGGATAGTCCCTACAGCTGGTCTATAGATGTTCAACTAACTATCCACTAACCTTAACCCTAGCCAGGATGTGGCTACAGATACAAAGGTAGACAGGTATTTTCAGAGACGGGCTTTTTAGCTAATGATCAACGCCTGCAGCTCTGTCTGGGTGTCAGAGTTACTAACCAATAATATCAGGTCATCTCTGGCTCCAGACTTGTAGTTCCTGTCACCTCACACTGTGGTTGATGCTCGACATCTTTCTAATGTCAGTTAGACCATGAAGAACAAACTGCAAGAAAAGGGCATACCTGACACCTATAAAGGACTTTTTTCTCACATTTGAGTCAAACTGTGATACAGCAACATACTGCAGTTGAAGCCTATTCATGATGTTCTTTGGAGAAAAAGGTAAATTAATTATGACTATTGTATTTCGTTTAACTTGAAAATATGGTTAATTTATGTACAACTAATTTAGGTACAGTGTAATCAGAAATAGATAAGAATGTTGTTCACTTTCTGATTATTTATGACGTTCATGTAACTTCAGAGTTCACTGTTTGAAATACGAATGGTACAGTCTCTCTACAGGTCTCAGACCCGCCAATCAGGCATGGGGACCGTCACTCCTGATGTGTACGACAGCCAACCCCCTGTCTCTTACTCTTATCTGACAGACAAGACCACCAGTATACACATTGGAAGGACAATGATGAAACTCTGTCCTGCCATCTCTCTGTTATTCTGAGCAGGTAAAGCTAGGGGTAATAAAAGTGCAAACGTACTATTAAAGGACAATCATGCTTACGTAATAAATAGTACTGTGAACATTGATAATGACTTAAGTTGTTCTGTTTGAGTGCATGGGTCAGAGGTGACCAACGTTTTCATGAAGGAAAATAGTTGACAAAACTATTGAGATTACACCCAATCTGAGTCTGCACTTTGTACCCTTGTTGAATACTTTAGGTTATGGGAAAGGCTTTTAGTTTTTTTTTTTTTCTTCACATACATTCCACATCTAACTGAGCGACAGGGGTCTGGTGTTCATCATCCAGATGAACAGATGAAGAGAGGTATGAAAAGAGCGTGTGTGGTTTTGATGCACTGAGAAGTGTGGTGATAGCTGAAGGCCAGTCTTCCTGTAGTGCAGGTTGTTAGTCTTCAGCAGAGAGAGAGTGACGCATGACAGGTCTACTGTCTCCACATCCCCTTATTGTCAACCGCCCCTCAAATCATCCATGCGCTTCTACTTACACATGTCACGTGGTGGAAAAGTGACCAGGTTCTTTTGAGCAGGCACATTCTTAGAAAATAAGGTGCTACCTAGAACCTAAAAGGGTTATTCGGCTGTCCCATAGGAGCATCCTATTTTTGTTCCAGGTAGAACATTTTCAACAAATAAAATTTGGAGAGAGAGACAGAGAGACAGACAGACACTCATCCCCCAGTGTTAGTCAGAGAGGCCCAGTGATGTTCACCTCAGCAGGTCTCACTCATCACTGAGCTGCTCCTCCCTGTCACTCACACCACAGGAAGTGATGCGTTCCTCACTGGCCCCTCTACCTCAGACCCCAATTATATTCTCCTTATAAAGCGACTAGCTGCTTCTCAGAATACGGGGGTGTGATCAGTGCAGTTAAGACAGGAAATACTAAGGGGCGAATAACATCATTACAAGCAACATTGTGGCATTTTGGAATAAACTCTCTATTTTTATTAATTAATCAATGTAATACAATTGTCCAATGCTGGGTACTTTTTCCTTTAGGCCAACTTATTAAAGAATAACCAAATCACTAATACACACAACAGAGATCTAAGCTAAGAGAGGTCAAAAAAGGCAACTACTCCTCTGTGGCCATTAAACAGTTGTGGCTTGAGTCTAACTCCTCCTCTCTAACCACTGAGCTGTGTGGCCTAACAGAGTGAAAGAGGGCTACAGTGGCCCTGAGGTACAACGCACAGAAACTACAGAGATATTTACTGATTTACATTTCAATGCATTTGTTTTAACTACACATACAACATAGAAGGATTTAAACTTGTATTCAAATATACGGCAAGCCACTTTCCCTCCTCTCCATCCTCCTCCACTTTGTCATCTTGTAGCAGCATACACTACATGGGGGTCCAGCTCCTCTCTTCTTCTCTCCCTCTTCTTTATCTTGGAGGTGAAATTCAGGGCGGCATAATTCAGTGCATTAGGATCTTGGTTCTGTACATTTGGAAACACACAATTATAATTTACACTGTTTCTGAATGATCATTTACCTGATCATTTTGTGGCTGTCGTTGCGAGTCAGGTCCTGAATATGATATAGTACAGAGATGAGAGAATATAAACTGATCATTCCATTGTAGTGCGCACAATAAACCAGAGTTGCCTATCCCTGCACTATGTCATGGGAAACATTTTCTCTATGTAAGTGTAGTTAATAGCCAGCCCCATTTGACATGGGCTCCATAACTGTGATTAGTCTGTCTGCATCTCGTCTGACCTTGAGGACCAGGATGAGGATGATTGTCAATAGAACAGCAGTTACAACACCAAGGATCACAACCTTTAGGAAGAGGTTCATGATTCCATCTTCCTCTCCTACAAAACAGATTTCAATTAGAAATCAGACCTATAAAAACATTTACCCCGTTTCCTACCAATGGAGAATGGAAAATTCTCAGGTCGCTAAAAGATGCTGTTGTACTTTATTTATATTCTGTGGTACTTTTATGGTACATCATAGAGTGGGGAGAACAAGTATTTGATACACTGCCTATTTTGCAGGTTTTCCTACTTACAAAGCATGTAGAGGTCTGAGGTCAAAAATCCAGAAAATCACATTGTATGATTTTTAAGTAATTAATTTGCATTTTATTGCATGACATAAGTATTTGATCACCTATCAACCAGTAAGAATTCCGGCTCTCACAGACCTGTTAGTTTTTCTTTAAGAAGCCCTCCTGTTCTCCACTCATTACCTGTATTAACTGCACCTGTTTGAACTCGTTACCTTTATAAAAGACACATGTCCACACACTCAATCAAACAGACTCCAACCTCTCCACAATGGCCAAGACCAGAGAGCTGTGTAAGGACATCAGGGATAAAATTGTAGACCTGCACAAGGCTGGGACGGGCTACAGGACAATAGGCAAGCAGCTTGGTGAGAAGGCAACAACTGTTGGCGCAATTATTAGAAAATGGAAGAAGTTCAAGATGACGGTCAATCACCCTCGGTCTGGGGCTCCATGCTGATCTCACCTCGTGGGGCATCAATGATCATGAGGAAGGTGAGGGATCAGCCCAGAACTACACGGCAGGACCTGGTCAATGACCTGAAGAGAGCTGGGACCACAGTCTCAAAGAAAACCATTAGTAACATAATACGCCATCATGGATTAAAATCCTGCAGCGCACGCAAGGTCCCCCTGCTCAAGCCAGCGCATGTCCAGGCCCGTCTGACGTTTGCCAATGACCATCTGGATGATCCAGAGGAGGAATGGGAGAAGGTCATGTGGTCCGATGAGACAAAAATATAGCTTTTTGGTCTAAACTCCACTCGCCGTGTTTGGAGGAAGAAGAAGGATGAGTACAACCCCAAGAACACCATCCCAACCGTGAAGCATGGAGGTGGAAACATCATTCTTTGGGGATGCTTTTTTGCAAAGGGGACAGGACGACTGCACCGTATTGAGGTGCGGATGGATGGGGCCATGTATCGCGAGATCTTGGCCAACAACCTCCTTCCCTCAGTAAGAACATTGAAGATGGGTCGTGGTTGGGTCTTCCAGCATGACAACGACCCGAAACACACAGCCAGGGCAACTAAGGAGTGGCTCTGTAAGAAGCATCTCAAGGTCCTGGAGTGGCCTAGCCAGTCTCCAGACCTGAACCCAATAGAAAATCTTTGGAGGGAGCTGAAAGTCCGTATTGCCCAGCGACAGCCCCGAAACCTGAAGGATCTGGAGAAGGTCTGTATGGAGGAGTGGGCCAAAATCCCTGCTGCAGTGTGTGCAAACCTGGTCAAGACCTACAGGAAACGTATGATCTCTGTAATTGCAAACCAAATATTAAGTTCTGCTTTCTGATGTATCAAATACTTATGTCATGCAATAAAATGCAAATTAATTACTTAAAAATCATACAATGTGATTATCTGGATTTTTGTTTTAGATTCCGTCTCTCACAGTTGATGTGTACCTATGATAAAAATGACAGACCTCTACATGCTTTGTAAGTAGGAAAAGCTGCAAAATTGGCAGTGTATCAAATACTTGTTCTCCCCACTGTATTTATTCATTTCTGAAAGATTCTCTCTTAAAATTACAGAATGAACATACCTTCTTCATGGTGCTCTGTAGGGTCCTTGTCATAAGCTTTGTGACCTTTTGGACGATTAGGTAAGTTACATTTTCTACTGTTATTCAAACTGCAGTACGATAGTATTGTATCTCCAACATTTTGTCAAAAATATATCTGATACCTAGGATAAATGTTTGTGCATTTGGTGTCATAGCAGACAATTTATTGAAAATATTACCTTGGACCTTCAGGACAGTCGCGTTGGTGAAGATGAAATAGTTATCCAACATTGTACAGACCATACCATAATTATATTGGTAATTACTATTTTCATATGCTTGCCCTGAAATCAATTTTGATGATGAACAGTTGGCAGAGAGCTCCACATAGACGTGATGCACAGGGGCTCTGAGCCGTTGACTTGCTTGAACCAACCAACATGTCCCGGGTTTTTAAGGACATTGATGCACTGCAGGGTGACATTTTCCCCTGAATGGACCACCTTTAAGGGTGGTGTAGAGACAGACACAATATAGGTCAGATCTGAAAGAGAACAACAGTTAAGAAAGAGTTGTGAATAAAACGTATTCTTCATGCACATGATATACACACCTAAACACAGTCACAACTATGTGAGAGACCAAATCTATTGATGAATCACAAAATCTGAACTGAAGATACAGAAACTTACAGAATCCGTAGAGGACGAGAGCTGGTACATATATGTGTTCCATTCTGTATTTAGATCTACACTGCCAGACCATGAAGGAAGGACTGAATCTTCAAATAAGAGAAATGAAAGTAATTTGTTATTATGGGCGGGACATGGAATGACAACCATTGATGTATACAATGACCACAGATAAAACAATCTTATCACCAACAATTGATGTTCCACACTAGCATTTGGTTTGATAAAGAGAATGATAAGATATTTTAATTATAGACTGTACTTTATCATCATGATTCCCAGACTTTTTAATGCTCCGAATTGATCAAATATATTTCAACAGACTAGTTGGTCAAACATATTTAGTCCATTTTAAAGTAATAACCTTTGAAAAGGGTCTGGATGACAGTAAATATTCAAAATCTAAATCTAAATCACTATCACACTAACACCAAAAGTGACAACAGTGACACAAAGGATGTAAGTTTGACAGGTTCGTGATGCTGAAAGGACAGCGACTGTAATACCTACCATCTCACTCCATGTAGGAGAGGACACTTTTTGTAAAACACATAGGCTGATAGAAAGACAGCTGTCACACACAGCATGATGTTAAAGAATAAGCAGCCCATTCACTAGGACATAATAAGCCAGTAGGTTCCAATCATAAGAACACAAAAACACAACCATTAGGCTAAGCATTTCCCAATCGAAATGTGCAACTATTACTTCCCATTGCAAACATTGTTATATTAAGCACACACACTAACCAGTGATCTAAAGTTTAAATGCAACAATGTTTCACACACAACACATTATTTTCAAAGAGATAGCTAACAAGCTGCAATGAAAAAAACAGTTCCACTCACCAGATGATGATCATTTGAAACAACATCTTGTTCCAAATTAATCTTGAAAAGGAAGAATGCTGTTAGCAGTTGATGTTATTCTTCAATGACACAGACCCCAAAGCAAATCAGGGGCAGAAAAATATATTTATTCAAAGAGAACAAATCATAGTTGTTATGCTGTAAAGTAGATGTTTATTATTCCCTGTCCTCAGTGTTTTCTCCACTGAACAAAGAGACAGGGTGTAGTTTATTCCCAAGCCTGTGGTTGACCAATTAAAATTACTTGCAATAGAATTTGGCCAATGGCCAAATACCAAGTATCCCATTTCAGGCTCAATGTATAGACAATTTGGGACCAATGAGAACTTGCCATATGTAGCTATGAGTCCCGGACTGGAACGCCTACACTGATTCTAAACAGATGTTGAACTGAAAAACAACCCTTGTCCCTGACCCATTAATCGTCAGTTCCCCATTACAGAAAAACAACTATTTCCATTGATCGTTAATTCCCTGCGTTGTGTATTTATCTTTGAATATTCTTAAAAAGCTAACAAATTAGCATCAACATCTTCTTCAATAACACCTGCTAAAGCAGCCACTAGCCTACAACAAAAACTAGCTAGCTTAGACTGTGGGAAAACTACTGCTCGCTATAGCGCAGTGACCTGTCCACCTTCGAGAATGGCGGAAGTATTACTTTATCCTATCCCAGGTATTCCTTAAAGAGGTGGGGTTTCAAATGTCTAGTTCATGCAGGAGCTGGGACTGAGCCCTCGGCCATACAACAGGAGTGTGGTCTCATGTCTTCCAACGTTGGGGACACAGTGACTTTACAGCGCTTCTAAATCAAATCAAATCAAATCAAATGTGATTGGTCGCATACACATATTTAGCAGATGTTATTGTGGGTGTAGCGAAATGCTTGTGTTCCTACCATGTGTTCCTCCAACAGTGCAGTAATATCTAACAATACACAACAATACACACAAATCTAAAAGTAAAGAATGGAATTAAGAAATATATAAATATTAGGACGAGCAATGTCGGAGTCCGGAGTATAAATATATATAGACATTATGGACAGTATTTGGATAGAATATGTAGTATATCTGAAGAATACGTGAATAGAATAGAATGTACAGCAATAGTTGAGTAGGATGGCCTTGACTAGAATACAGTATGTAAACATTATTAAAGTCACCAGTATTCCATGTCTATGTACATAGGGCAGCAGCCTCTAAGGTGCAGGGATGAGTAACCGGGTGATAACCAGCTAGTGACAGTGACTAAGTTCAGGGCAGGGTACTGGGTGGAGGCCGGCTAGTGATGGCTATTTAACAGTCATATGGCCTTGAGATAGAAGCTGTTTTTCAGTCTCTCGGTCCCAGCTTTAATGCACCTGTACTGACCTCGCCTTCTGGATGATAGCGGGGTGAACAGGCTGTGGCTTGGGTGGCTGAGGTCCTTGATGATCTTCTTGGCCTTCCTGTGACACCGGGTGCTGTAGATGTCCTGAAGGGCAGGCAGTGTGCTCCCGGTGATGCGTTGGACTGACCGCACCACCCTCTGGAGAGCCCTGCGGTTGCCAAGGCGGTGAAACAGCCTGACAGGAAGGCGACGTGGCCATACATTTCTCCTGGTACAAGCAACCCTTGGGAGAAAATCCTCAGCTCATCTCAAACATCTATAAGTATGACAAGAGTCCTACATTATACCATGAGTTGAAGGGTAACCATCACTTTTCAGTGCAAAGCGGCCAAGGAATAAATCATCTCAGTATCTCAGACATGAAAAGCTCGGATTCAGCCACATACTACTGTGGGAGCACTCACTCAAATGTGTTGGAATTTGAAACATACTTGATGTAAAAGCTACACTACTGAGATTTTTTTTTCAATATTCCTTAAATATTTTCAGAGAAAGTCTGAATTTGTAGATAAAGAGTGGTGATGAGTTAGCCTAAGAAAAAACATTTTAGGATTTTTACAATGTTACTTTTTGGAAAAGGGTCTTAATGTCAGGTATTCTCACATTCAGATGATTCTCTCATTGAGTAAGAACACTTGCTACGGGGAAGTTTAATATCATATTTAAACCCTCTTTTCAGATTCAGGCTCCAACAGCAAGACAGTTGTAGAGCAGTCTGTGTCTGATTCAGTCCAGCTAGGAGACTCTGTGACTCTGAACTGTACAATACACACTGAGACCTGTGCAGGAGAACACAGTGTCTATTGGTTCAGACATGGCTCAGGAGAATCCCGTCCAGGAATCATTTACACCCATAGAGACAGGAGTGATCAGTGTGAGAACAGCCCTGAGGCTGGGTCTCCTACACAGAGCTGTGTCTACAACCTCCCCAAGAGGAACCTCAGCCTCTCTGATGCTGGGATTTACTACTGTGCTGTGGCCTCATGTGGGGAGATACTGTTTGGGAACGGGACAAAGCTGAACGTTCAAGGTAAACCTCTTATGCTCTTTTGATAAAATTACATAAACATTACATTTACATACACAGGTGGTTATTGTAAAAGACAATGTGTTCTCAATGACTTACGTTCACATTTATATTTTAGTCATTTGCTAGAACAAGACACTGTTATCCAAAGCGACTTACAGAAGCAATTAGGGTTAAGTGTCTTGCTCAAGGGCACATTGACCGATTTTTCACCTAGTCGGCTCAGGGATTCAAACCAGCAACCTTTCGGTACTGGCCCAATGCTCATGCCCATAAGCTATGTGGACTATGAAATAACACATATCATGTAGTAACCAGAGAATTGTTAAACAAATCAAAATATATTTTATATTTGAGATTCTTCAAATAGCCACCCTTTTCCTTGATGACAGCCTTGCACACTCTTGGCATTCTCTCAACCAGCTTCATGAGGTAGTCACCTGGAATGCATTTCAATTAACAGGTGTGCCTTCTTAAAAGTTAATTTGTGGAATTTCTTTCCTTCTTAATGCGTTTGAGCCAATCAGTTGTGTTGTGACAAGGTATACAGAAGATAGCCCTATTTGGTAAATGACCAAGTCCATATTATGGCAAGAACAGCTCAAATAAGCAAAGAGAAACAACAGTCCATCAATACTTTAAGACATGAAGGTCAGTCAATACGGAACATTTCAAGAACTTTGAAAGTTTTTTCAAGTGAAGTAGCAAAAACCATCAAGCGCTATGATGAAACTGGCTCTCATGAGGACCGCCAGAGGAAAAGAAGACCCAGAGTTACCTCTGCTGCAGAGGATAAGTTCATTCGAGTTACCAGCCTCAGAAATTGCAGCCCAAATAAATGCATCACAGAGTTCAAGTAACAGACACATCTCAACATCAACTGTTCAGAGGAGACTGCGTGAATCAGGCCTTCATGGTTGAATTGCTTCAAAGAAACCACTACTAAATGATACCAATAATAAGAAGAGACTTGCTTGTGCCAAGAAACACGAGCAATGGACATTAGACCGGTGGAAATCTGTCCTTTGGTCTGATGAGTCCAAATTTGAGATGATTGGTTCCAACCGCCGTGTCTTTGTGAGACGCAGAGTAGGTGAATGGATGATCTCTGCATGTGTGGTTCCCGCAGTGAAGCATGGAGGGGGAGGTGTGATGGTGTGGGGGTGCTTTGCTGGTGACACTGTCAGTGATTTATTCAGAATTCAAGGCACACTTATCCAGCATGGCTACCACAGCATTCTGCAGCGATAGGCCATCCCATCTGGTTTGGGCTTAGTGGGACTATCATTTGTTTTTCAACAGGACAATGACCCAAAACGCACCTCCAGGCTGTGTAAGGGCTATTTGACCAAGAAGGAGAGTGATGGAGTGCTGCATCTGATGACCTGGCCTCCACAATCCTCCGACCTCAACCCAATTGCGATGGTTTGGGATGAGTTAGACTGCAGAGTGAAGGAAAAGCAGCCAACAAGTGCTCAGCATATGTGGGAACTCCTTCAAGACTGTTGGAAAAGCATTCCAGGTGAAGCTGGTTGAGAGAATGCCAATAGTGTGCAAAGCTGTCATCAAGGCAAAGGGTGGCTACATTTTGAATTGTTTAACACTTTTTTGGTTACTACATGATTCCATATGTGTTATTTCATAGTTTTGATGTCTTCACTATTATTCTACAATGTAGAAAATAGTAAAAATTAAGAAAAAAACCTGGAATGGGTAGGTGTGTCCAAACCTTTGACTGGTACTGTATATATGAGGTATGCAGAGTCAGAAAGGTATTTTCTAATGATGTGATGGATTTCTGACTGATGGAGCCTGACACACATTCAGCTAAAGAGCTGTTCCTTTTAATCCTATTGTATCTGTGGTAACAGAGATGTACTGTAGAGAGAATAGAGATGTATGGAGGGTTAAAATAGTATAGTTTATTATGTTAAAAAAAACATAGTCATTCAGCAAACATGGGATCCTTTATCAGAGAATGTATATTAGTTAAAAGCAGAAGTAAAAGGTTGGAATATTTTATGCATTACAGGATCATCATATAAATCTAACACATTGACATTGTCAAAATTACATTAATTTCAGTTACTAACAGTAGTTTTATTACAAGGAGTAAAATGGTTCTTCTTGGAGTCTTTGTGACAGTGGTGATACTGTATCTCTCACTCCTGCTGAAGGTATCTGACCTCAGAGTACACTACATCCTCTATGCTGGTCTTCTCTCTTGCTGTTCTAGAGGAGGAAGAGGAGTTCTTCTTGGGGGTGAAACTCACAGCAGCATAGTTCAACACGTCACTGTCTTGATTCTGTGAGAGGTGGAGCGATGGCAAAATGCATTATGATGATAGTATGAACTGCTATACTATATTTTATTTTCTCCTTTACAAAAGACATGTCAAACACACTGTACACCCACTAAATGACCTTACAGTCAGTGGAACAGTGACAGAGAGATGTTCCATGGAAAAAGTGACAACGATCACAAAGAAAAGTGAGCTACATCTAGTACAGTGATCTATTACTTCCAAGAAAGCTTAATAACTCATAAAAAGCAAAAATAAGCTGAATACTAACTGTAAGGAAACCTAAATGACAGTTGTAAAGAAACACTTTAGTGTAACTGAGAAAAAATTAATGAACGTTTATGAATTTACCTGATTCCCCTGGGATGTTGGACCATCTCTCCTCCCTTCAGAGATTGAAATAGAGTAAGGCCGTTTATTATTTTTAAGACAATCTATTTTTCTGTTTAACCTCATGTAGTTAATTGACAATGCTTATAAATTGGATATTAAATTGATGTTTACAGAATTTACATTTTATAGAGATACATGAAACATTAGACATGATATAAAGTAAAAGGCCTACCTCTGTGATGTCTGTTCAGAGTCTTGTAAAGCGCCCAGACAAGCAGAAGGGTCACTATCCCCAGAACGATGTTGGACACGACCAAGGCAAGAACAGTAGGACTTAGATCAAATGGAGAATCATGCTCTGGAACTGTGAATGGGTATCAGTAGATTCATATTGTATTCATGACCGCTTAGGTACAATATGATACTAGTAAGCTAATCAATTTCAAAATAAAAGTCCCCATGCTACAGACAATGAATATTGACTAAATACATTACGGCAAAATATAAGTCCTACTAAAACTAAGGCTACTGTGTTATAGGAGCATGAATTGGTTGAAACAAAAGCAATAATTTTGAGCTAAGTGGCATACATTAACATGTCTTTGTGGCAATGTATAGCTGAGGAAATGGGAATTACCTTGAATGTCCAGCTTGGTCCCGTTCCCAAACAGTATCTCCCCACATGAGGCCACAGCACAGTAGTAAGTCCCAGCATCAGAGAGGCTGAGGTTCCTCTTGGGGAGGTTATAGACACAGCTCTGTGTAAAATACCTATTCTCAGGGCTCTTCTCACACTGATCACTCCTGTCTCCATGGGTGTAAATGATTCCTGGATGGGATTCTCCTGAGCCATGTCTGAACCAATAGACACTGTGTTCTCCTGCACATGTCTCAGTGTGTATTGTACAGTTCAGAGTCACAGAGTCTGCTGGCTGGACTGACTCAGACACAGATTGCTGGAGTATAGGCATGTTTCTGGACCCTGAACCTGACAGAAAGGTAAACTAACCTATTAATTTCTAGACTTTCACGGTAGCGAGTATTCAAACGTATCATTTGTTAAATTAAGATCTCATCTGATTAAGATAATACCTCATATTTACACCGTATATCTGTAAAATCAGATTTACACAAAGAAAACAAAAACTTTTCCTGTACCTTTTACAATGAGAATTGCTCCTTTTCCAAACTCCACCTTGTTGGTATAAGCATTTCCACAGTAGTAAGTGTCGGAATCAGAGAGTTGCATGTCTGAGATCCTTAGGTGATTCTTTTTTGGGCCGTTTTCCACTGAGAAGCGATGGTTATCCTTAAACTCATTGTAGAATGTTGCGTTCCTGTCAAACTTATAATGGACGGTTGAGAAGAGCTGAAGTTTATCTCCAAACGTTTGCTTGTACCAGGAGAAATGCATGGCCATGTCGCCTTCATAGAAGCAACGCAAAATCACAGTGTCTCCAATTTTGGCTGATATGAGACCACTCTCCTGACGTATGGATGAGGATCCAGTCCCAGCAACCCCATGAACTAGAGAACATGAAAATATGCTGTTACAAACCTCAAATACAACTTTGGATTCTCAAAGTGTCTGTAAAACAATAATGGGATAACTTGTGTCTCCAAATCAAGTTTGGACAACACATAAGCAGTGAAATATAAAAGATTGGCTTACCCATCTCTACGAGAAGTGGAAATATCAGACACAGTGCGATCATCTTTAAAGTTGTCAGCTCTTCACAACTTGGGGCTTGAGTGGAAAGAGTCCACCCATGTAGACAACACTTCAACAATGGAGTTACAGGTGATTGGTCGAAATGGACCGCATCATATTTGTTGACGCCTCATTCAGTCATGACTATGGTCTTTAACTGTGTATTTTACAGTTCAGAGTCACAGAGTCTCCTGACTGGACTGACTCAGAAAAATTATCTTATAGGTATATAATTATGCTAATAGATTTGTTACAAATTAAGAACTGATCATTGAAGTTTGGCATCCAATATTCTTTATTTCTGCAGCTACTGTTGTCTAAGAGACACATAGTGTGAGCGACTTTGATGGTATGACACTCCCATCCTCTAGGGCTTCTATCACCACACAGTCGTTTCACTTCACCAAAAACATCTATGGAAAAAACAAAGCAAACACAAAACAGTATTCTTCTTTTAGTGATCTCTCATTCAGGATTTACACTCAATTGGATGGATAGGAGAGAGAGAGAGAGAGAGAGAGAGAGAGAGAGAGAGAGAGAGAGAGAGAGAGAGAGAGAGAGAGAGAGAGAGAGAGAGAGAGAGAGAGAGAGAGAGAGAGAGAGAGAGAGAGAGATAGATAGATAGAGAAAGAGGGTTGTGTGTGTGCAAAAGGCCAGCAGACTGTATCAAACAGACATACTCATCTAGTCATCGTGTATTGATCACAGACCACAGAGTACCAGTAACTATGTTGCTGTGTGTGTGAGCGGGTGTTAGTGGCATGCGAGGGGGAAAAAACATAAGTCATGTACATAACTACGGCTCTATGAGACCGAAGGATGACTGTGACTGATAAGTTTTACGGTCTTTACTGTGAGTGATGCCTTGAGTCAGCCGGTCATCGAAGACCATTCATGTATATACAAAAAGTCATGCCCTATGACCTAGAGGCGGGACTTACCTCTTAGCTATAAAAGGAGAGGTCAAGTCCGCCTCATCCTCTTTGCCTGGAACGCTGGTAACAGGTTCCGATTGACAAAGGACAGTGGCGGTCATCCTTCGGTCTCATAGATCCATAGTTATGTACATCACTTACAAGCTATTTTGACCTCACTCAGACTATCACTGATAAGTGTTACATTCCTTACCTTGGATGAGTTTTGCGAGGAATGGAGGATTCTACATCCCCAACACTTTGCCGGGCAGCAGCGAGCAAAATGATGGAGCACAGCGGAGCGGAGGTTGCCAAGTTTACTCTAATACCTAGCAAATGTGAATTGCGAGGGCCATGTGGCAGCCGCATAAATGCCAGTCAAGGAAAAACCTTTCACGGCTGCCCAAGATGTGGCCATGCTCCTGGTGAAATGGGCCACCATGCCTCCTGTCGCTAGTTGACCCTGACTTGTGTAGGCCTGGGAGATGGTATCCACCAGCCAATGGGAGAGCCGCTGTTTAGAGGGCGGCAGGCCAAGCTTTTTGCCATCGTAGCACACAAACAGTTGTTGGGTGCATCTCAGAGATTGCATCTTGGACACGTATGCTCGTAGCGCAATGACCTGGTAGAGGGACATCACGCTGTCATCTATGCCAGATAGTGGAAGCAGAGAACGGAATGCTCCTATCTCCACCACCTGGTTAATGTGCTGAGGAGAGAGCACATGTCCTCAGCCTTCCATCTCAAACAGTCCACACTTACAGAGAGGGCATGTAGCTCGCTCACACGCTTAGCGGAGCAGAGCGCCAGGAGAAAGGTCGTTTTTAAGGAGAGATTTCGTCAGACAGCTATTGGCTCATATGGAGGCCTAGCTAGGGCCCCCTGGACCAGGGGAATGCCCCAAGCAGGGGCACGCTTAACGCGGCCCGGGTGTAGCTGGCGGACACCCGTCAGAAACTGCGACACAAGGAGGTGACTGCCCAGCTTGTGGCCATCCACCATGTCATGAGAAGCTGAAATGAAGGCCACATACACTTTGATAGTACTGGCTGTCTTGCCCATGTCCAGATGGGACTGGAGGAATCGGAGGAGAAGATGTACAGGACAGGTAACTGGGTCTATCTGTCTAGCGTCACACAGAGAGGAGAATAGGCTCCATCTGAGAACATAAAGTGAGCGGGTGGATGGGGCTCTCACATTTCTTAGAGTCTCATGAACAGCTGCGTCTAGCTCCTGAGAGATGGACTCGTTATTGACCATACCCAGAGCTGAAGGGAAGCTGGGTTGGGGTGCCAAATCAAGATGTCCACCTGCGACAGGAGGTCTGACCTGGTTGAAGGGGGCCAGGGGGATCCCCACACCAGCTGAAGGAGCTCAGAGAACTAAGGTCTGCCTGGCCATCTCGGCGCTACTAGTAGGACCCTGTGGTGTCCGTGCTTGACCTGATGAGATCAGAGAAAATGGGGGGAAAGCGTAAATCAACCCTTCCGGCCACTCTTGAGACAGAGCATCCAGCCAAGAGTGCCCCCTAGACCCCTCAGAGAAAACCACATCTGGCAGTGGGTTGTCTCTTGTGAGGCAAACAGGTCCACCTGGGCATCCCCGAATCGAGACCAAATCTGAGACACCACCTGGGGGTGGAGGCGCCACTCCCCGGGAAGAGGACCATGGAGTGGAGGTCTGCAGCACGGTTTGCAATGCCCGGCACATGGATGGCCCTGAGGGAAGCCAAGTGGGGTAGAGCCCACCTGAAGGCAACGCAGTGACCTTGTGCCCCCTTGGTGATTTATGTGATACACTGTGGAGGTGTTGTCTGTTCTCACAAGCACGTGTCTGTCCAGAATGTAAGGGAGCGCGAGGTGAACAACTTTGAGCTCCAACACATTGATGTGTTCTGAGCTCCAAGGGGGCGCCAACACCCATCTCACCTACTTGCCTTCACAGACAGCCCCCCAGCCTGTCCGGAAGGAGTCTGTCATCACTACAGTCCTCCTGGAAGGGAGATTTCCCAGAGGAACCCCCTGAGTTAAGAGAATCCTGTCTCTCCAGGGACGGAGGGTTAGAAGGCACGTGTTCGTCACTTTGAGCTTCACCCGTTTGTCTGCTTTGGGGTGAAGGTGGAATGTATTGAACCATCTCTGGATGGGTCAGGCTCTGAGGAGGCCTAGGAGAACCACGGTCGTTGCTACCACTATCATCCCTAAAATGCTTTGAAACAGTGCAGCATCAAGATGTTCACCGAGGTGGAAACGGTCGAGGAGGTTCAGGATCTTGTCCACTCTCTGTGGGGTGTCATAGTTAGGGAATTGAGAGATAGACCCACGAAAGCTGTCTGCTTTCTAGGCTTCAGATTGCTCTTATCCAAGTTCACTGTTAAGCCCAAGTGCTGGATGTGAGCCATCACCCTCTCTGTCTCCATTATCAGACGCCTGTGAGATGGAGCACAGATCAGACAGTCGTCCAAGTAGGGGAGTATCTTCAGTCCTGCTAATTGGAGAGGAGCCAGAGCTGCTGAGACACAATGTGTGAACCATTTGGCCAGGGAAAGGCCAAATGGTAGGACATTGAACTGGTAGGCCTGTCCTAAAAATGCGAATCACAGGAAGTTTCTGTGACCTGGCCATATCGGGATATGAAAGTAGGCGTCCTTGAGGTCTAGAGAAGTGAACCACTCTCCTGGGGTTCTGGACTGCAAGATGTGGGTCGTGTGTAATATCTTGAAAGGCAGGACCTTCAGACGACATTTCAAGCGTCTGAGGTCGAGGATGGGTTGATAGCCCCCGTCCTTCTTGGGGACTAGAAAATATGTTGAGTAGAATCCAGTTTGCTGTTCGTTAGAGCTTACTCTAGTGATTGCTCCCTTCTGGAGGACGGTGAAGATTTTGTTGTGTAAACTCTGGCTTTGGTTCGGGTCTGTGACCTTGGTCATTCGGACGACTGAAAAGGGAGGGGGCCGCCGTTAAAATTGGAGCCTGTACCTTTGGATAATGTTGCCAGTATCCAGGGGTCTGACACCACCCCTCCCCAGTAGCCGAGAGGATGCTGGGGTGGGCTGTCAACAGCCGGCCCCGCACCCCTAGGCCTGACCACCCTTTCGTCCTCGGCCCTTCGGGGAGGCTTCTTATAAGGCACCGCACAAGAGAAGGTATGGAGCTGTTAGCTTGGTAGCCGCTGCCTTGAGACGCTGCCAGAATGGCGGGGATCTTAGTTTGGACACCTGCCTCAACACCATGGCTCCTGTCTTGACCATTGGATCTGCTGTGGCGGCAGGGGACCCCTAGGTCTCTACTGTGGCCCTGTAGGCTTGTGGTAACTGTGCTGAACGGTCTCTCTTGTAACACGTTAGTGTTTTGTCTTGTCAAGAACCTCCTGAGATCCAGGGTGGAAGACCTGGCTTGGTAGGACTGGTAGGTTGATGAACTGCTTCCATAACTGGAATCCTGGTCCTCTGAGCTCATTGTCTTCCATAGGGCAGGCAAGAGGATGGCTAAGGCATTTCCCATTCATGCAGCACAAGCAGCAGCATTGTAAGCGCGGCACACCAACTGGTTAGTTTTGTCACACTCCTTCCAAAGACAGCGTTGCGTGGGGGTTAAGTGCTTCGGGCCAAGGCGAGTTAAGGCTGCCATGTCTTGTTTGACGGGAGGCATGTCACCCAATCCAGTTTGGGGAACGTAGTTCATCTTGGTGAGCGGTCTACAGCCGGGGTTGAACTGAAGGGAGGGGGGGCATGGGAGAGTTCCATGCCCTTCTGAGCATTTGAAAGTAGTCCTCTGCTGCAGGGATGTCAGTGAGAAGACGTTCCTGAGAAACACCATCCCAGATTCCTCCAGTAGGAGTGGGAACAGGAGCTGAGATGTGTAGCCCTACTATTTTAGCTGCACTAATGAAGCGGGTCCAGTGGCTTGGGCTGTTGCGGTGACCATATTACCACCAGTAAAATTCCATGTGACCATTGAGTCAAGGTAATCTCCTCTTATGCACTCTGGACATGCTTTGGTAGTACCCAACTTGCTAACAAACATCAGGTCCTAATGGCCTGGTACTAAGGGTTCTATTCTCCCTCTAACTACTCTGACATTAATGCAAATGCGATCAAAAATCACATCAAACACTTATTAGCAAAACAGTATCATGCTTTAAAATGCAATCAAATGCAAATTCATTATTTAAAAATCATACAATGTGATTTTATGGATTTTTGTTTTAGATTCCGTCTCTCACAGTTGAAGTGTACCTATGATAAAAATGACAGACCTCTACATGCTTTGTAAGTAGGAAAACCTGCAAAATCGGCAGTGTATCAAATACTTGTTCTCCCCACTGTAGGTCCTGTTTCAAATTATCACTTGGCCACTTTATATGCGCATTCGCTCCGGAATGGGAAACATATCCTTTCTATTTTATTCAGCTAAGTTCAATTATATTCTTTTTACTATAAAATCATAGGATAAAATAATGGCATGGGACTTAGAAGCATATCTTGTCAGCTAAATGAACAAGCCTACAGCCTATGGCATGGAGCATAGCCAGATAACATACAGTAGGCCATTCTGCATGAGATATGCAGTGCCCAGGCAGGAAGGGCACTCATGGTGGCATCACAGGTATCCATCATCGCCCGGCAGAAACTGTAAAACTGTCTGGCAACCTGTGTGGGTCTTTGAACGAAACCAAATAGCTACAGATAGCTGTATCTGGTATATTGAAAACAGGTAAAAGAGTAGAAAATTACAATCTGGAAATCTCTGTGGGTCTGAATGAAACCAAACAGTTACGAATAGCTGTATCTGGTATATGGAAAACAGGTAAAAGAGTAGAAAATACAATCTAGCAACGTGTGTGAGTCTAAAGATATAAAACATCTACGTATAGCTGTGACTGGTAAATTGAGGCAATAGACAAAAGGATACCAACCAGATACAAATAGGGGTGAATAGGGGTGAGAGCACAGTAGAGTAATTCAGTTTATTTAAACCAACCAGCTATGAATAGTGGTGTAGGGTTTAGTGAGTAATTGAATGTGCAGGTGGATCTTGGGTAAGTGTCACACATTCGGATACCTCCTGCGCCATGACCTGTTGCTTAGGTCTGTTATTTCCGAAGTTTTACTTTGTTTTATTTTTATTTTGTTCACAAGTGTTTGTGTCAACACCTGCTACCAACTAGCCAGCTAGCTAGCTAGCTAGCTAGGTTGCATTGGGGCCCGCTCTTTCCTGGAATAGCTAACGAAAATGTCCAGCGCTGTAGAAGCTGTGTTTATTAAACTCTTGTCCGAGATAATATTGACAATCTGGAGTTCCAATGTGGCAATTGTTTGCTAGCGGAGGATTACAGGAATGAGGTGGCTATGCTTAGCAAGCAAATCTCAATTATGCGCGAATGTATGGGGAAAACTGAAATTGGAACTTTCTCGTTCTCAACTCCTATGGTTGGACACCGCTCGGGCCTGATGGATGTTTCCACGCTTTGTCATCTGTCCCTATCAGAATGGCCAGTACTACCTGGAATTTGCCTGCCAAGGAAGTCTTCTCCATCTGCTTCTTCTCCTCCCTCTTGTAGTGAAGTAGCAGGAGAACAGCAAGAAGATTGTTTCAATCAGCGCTGGTCCCATGTCACAAGTTGTGGAAACCGAAGGCAGCAGCATGCTGCTAAGCGGACGGGAGTGACTGCGATAGGTTCGGAGGAGATTGACATAAGGAATAGCTTCGCTGCACTTGTGCCTGATCTACTTGCGCCTTCATCACTTGGATTGCCTGTGTCTGCTGACTCCAACTGTGCTGAATGCAGCGGCTTCGTCGTAGAGTTCAGCTCATTTTCCTCTCTCTGGATCCAACGGGGCACTGCCTGCTGTGGGAGGTCTGGACCTATCGCCGGGAGCAGCGGGCGTAAGCTATTCTGCTTCTCGTGGGTCCGTGAAAGACTAAATGAATTGTGTGAGGGGTAGGAATGGGCGGATTTCTCCATTCCCTTCTCCGGCCGTTGTATTGGGCGGTTCAATTGTGAGAAATGTCTCAGTCCCTGGAGCAAAAACGTTGTGCTATCCAGGAGCATGAGTAGAGGACATCAATAAGCTGCTTCCAAACATTTGAAACCACCATCAGGAAAGTGTGTCTATCATAGTTCATGTGGGATTCAAAGACATTATGAAAGGCAGCTCAGAACAGCTGAAGATATATTTTAAAGAACTGATTGGGTCACTGCTTGACACCAACAAACGCCCCATAATATCTGGCCCTCTGCCCTACCTGTGGCATTGAATGTTTCAGCAGACTTTTAGCCCTCCATAACTGGCTATGAGACTATTGCAGCTCTGTGGGTGTAACATTTATTGACAATTTTTATACCTTCTGGAAACGAAGCTCGTTTTATAAGGAGGATGGGATTAATCCAAATCATTTGGGTTCCTGGATCATTTCACAGCATTATAAGGCTGCGTTGAGACAATGACTTATCAATGACCCAAGCCCAGCTCAGTTAATTTCTACCATTGTGTCACTGAGTTGTCATAATGCTTCAGCAAATGTACATTATCCCAGGGGCGTTGGAAGACACAATGTAAGTAACCTAATTTACTGTATACTGTATGTCCCTCTAACTGCCCTGAATGCCTCTGCTGATCCCACAGCTATTGTATGCAGTAATCATGTGCTTATGAACCAAAATTATACTGTTAGCACTGGCGGTGTGCCCTAGTAGGAAGTCCACTGTGTGCAGCTCACCCTGCACTAACATAAATAACATGAGCATGTCTACTTCTTCTAAAATTCCCAGTAAAGCAGTGAAAACAATCAAGCATCCCAGAAAAGTGCTAAAAATAGCCCACGTTAACATATGTAGCTTAAGAAACAAGGTTCATAAAATCAATAATTGTCACGATCGTCGTAGTAATGAGTAGACCAAGGCGCAGCGTGAGAAACAAACATGACTTTAATTAGTTAAAGTTTCTAAACAAAACAATACACGACTCGTGAAGTCCACGGTGACACTGACCGAACACGGAACAAAAACCCACAAACCCAAAGTGAAGCACAGACAGTTAAATATGGCTCCCAATCAGAGACAACCAGCAAACAGCTAACACTCGTTGCCTCTGATTGGGAGTCACACAGTCAAACATAGAAAATGACGAACTAGAACACCCAACATAGAAACAGAACACATAGAATGAACACACCCTGGCTCAACATAATGAGTCCCAGAGCCAGGGTGTGACAGTACCCCCCCCCTAAAGGCGCGGACTGCGACCGCGCCTCAACTAAACAAAACAGGGGAGGGCTGGGCGGGCATACCTCCTCGGCGGCGGTTCTGGCTCCGGCCTTGACCACCACCCTCCAATACACCCCCCATAGTGCCCCTGGTCCAGTCTGTCGACTCGCACCCCTGGCTTGGTGCGTGGAGGAGGAACGGGCCTTACCAGGCTGACTTCTCGCACCCCTGGCTTAGTGCGTTTGGCAGGAACAGGCCAGACCGGGCTGGCGACGCGCACCGTAGGTTTGGTGCGAGTGGCAGGAACAGGCCGGGTCGGGCTGGCGACGCGCACCGTAGACTTGGTGCGGGTGGCAGGAACAGGCCGGGTCGGGCTGGCGACGCGCACCGTAGACTTGGTGCGGGTGGCAGGAACAGGCCGGACCGGGCTGGCGACGCGCACCGTAGACTTGGTGCGGGTGGCAGGAACAGGCCGGGTCGGGCTGGCGACGCGCACCGTAGACTTGGTGCGGGTGGCAGGAACAGGCCGGACCGGGCTGGCGACACGCACCGTAGGTTTAGTGCGTGGAGCAGGGACAGGCCGGGCTGGGCTGTCGACGCACACCGTAGGCTTGGTGCGTGGAGCAGGGACAGGCCGGGCTGGGCTGTCGACGCACACCGTAGGCTTGGTGCGTGAAGCAGGGACAGGCCGGACTGGGCTGTGGAGACGGATAGGAGGCCTGGAGTGAATAGCGGCCACCACCCGTCCTGGCTGAATGCCTACCCTCACACACTCTGTGTGAGGCATCCGCACAGGACGTACAGGGCGGTGTACCCCTGGCCTGGTGGCCTTCTGGATCCGCCCCCTTTTCTCCTCCGTCAGCCCCGTCGTCCATGCCGTGTGCCCCCCCCTAAAAATTTTCTGGGGTTGCCTCACGACCGTCCGACGACGACCCTGATCACGCCGTAGCTCCTCTCTACGGCGCGCCTCCACCGTCTCACTCCATGGCCGGCGATCCATCCCGGCCAGGATTTCCTCCCAGGTCCAGGACCCCTGCCCGTCCAAGATCTGCTCCCACGTCCAGGCTGCCTGCTCCTGGACACGCTGCTTGGTCTTGGTATGGTGGGTTTTTCTGTCACGATCGTCGTAGTAATGAGTAGACCAAGGCGCAGCGTGAGAAACAAACATGACTTTAATTAGTTAAAGTTTCTAAACAAAACAAAACACGACTCGTGAAGTCCACGGTGACACTGACCGAACACGGAACAA